TCGCAGTCCATTCATTTCAAATTATCTTTCTGCATTAAAAAGGTTTAGTATCAAGAACTGTAATACTGCAGATTTTTATGGGTTCAAAAAACTGTTCTTCAATTTTTTTCCCACATAAACTTTCGGGTTTCTGTGTTAAAGATCTGTTTTTTTTTTGGCACGTTAAATTCCAAAATTTCTTAGCCTAGTTAAGAATTATTCTCAGCGAACAGAATATAAGCCCAACAAGATTCAAATAGTTTTTTCATGGCTTCACAATCTTATACAAAGTGTTTGATTGAAGAAAGTCACAAATCCTTCAAAGGTAACTTCTATCTCTTTTCAGTCTCATACACTTTTTGTTGCATTAGAGGGATTTTAAGCCTAGGAGAAATGATTATTGATGGTTGACAAGGCGATGAAATTCAGCAAATGACACATCAGATTTTGCTGGTTTACAAGTTGCTGTTTGTACATCAAATTCCCATTTATTTAACACAGTAATTCTTATGAAAAGTTTTAGGAAAATAGAAGTTGAATGTCTTGGAATAATAAACAAAGTTAATCGTGTAGTAGTTGCTTTTCAAGCTGCAATATTAATTAAGAGTTACCGAAAAAAACAGGTTATATACACCACTCCAATTGTTTTTTTTTTTTCTTAGTGCTTCAAAAACTTAAGGTATCTGAAAATAGAAGTTCTCTAATTTTAACTTTAAGTAATATCTTTTAGTAATTATATATCCTGCTTTCAAAAAAAAAAAAAAGTATTTTTCCGAACTTAGTTGGCGTTATCGTCGTTCTTTTACTGACCATTTATTCTACATGTGCTGTTGGAGGTTCTTTTATTCAAGCAAAGCAAGCAAGTTTAATTTAAGTATCAAGACCTATTGCGAATTCCGCAGATATGTGAAAAACTTAATAAAAATTTAGATGTTCAATCGTCAGCAGCAATTGTTCAATAAATTAGGTATTTTATCCATATCCTTTCTCTATTTCTTTTTGCCAAAACGGTTTCATCCCCACTTTTTCCACCTTTTACAATCCCAGAAAAGTTTCTGTACTTCCTACCCGTACAAGAGCCTACAGGAGGACAACTAATTTCCTAAATTAAACTAAAAGTTGACTGAATTTATATGACAGTCAGATTCTTATCACCCTACAAAGAAGAGTGTTTTTCTGAGGCTTCACTTTGACGATGATATTTTAAAAATTTATGAAAAAAAAGAATAATGTATGCAGCAATCCAGTTTAAAGCATTCTGTAAAGTCCCATCTTTACAGAACAGTAATAACTGATTTGTGCCAAAAATTTACGAATGAAATCGCAAGAAAATTTGAAAATTATTCTAGCTTTCAGTTACAAAAAAATTTAAACTTTAATTATGCCAAGGAGTTTAACCAACGTTTTTCCTTGTGAGAAAAAATACTGCTGAAATGTTCTTAGTTCGCTAGCTATAAAAATTTTGCCAATAATCCACATTCTTAATTCATATATGCTTTAGTCCAGTTAAGTTATTTTAAGTAATATAAATAGATGAGCAAATGTCTAATTACGCGAAATTATAGTGAGCGGAACGACGAATGAAACTTAACCGTCGGCAATCTAACAAAATCGTAAAGTTATTATTCAGCTTCAGTATATCTCATTATTCTTCTGAAAACTTTCCGTCTTAATTTATGGCAAGCAGGTAGTGGAATCATCTGAATTTTTTTCGATTCCATCCACCGATTCAAAAAATACAAGTCAAATGAAGTTAAGCTATTCTTCCCAGCTATATCGTTGAAATTTAGCGAAAGTCAAGGTTTATATCAATCCTCTGTATCACGATATACAAATTTTTTATTCATTAATTTTTACACTGAACTCTACTCTCTTGAATACTTTGCTTTTTCCGTTCCTCAAGTGCATTGTTCACACCAGGTTTCTCAACGTCCTGGAGTGTTGAAGTAGATTCCCTCCAAAAAACGTTACCGACATCAAAGTTTCAAAATTTTTTGAACTTTTAAGGGACTTACTGGTGTGCGATTCATAACAAAGCAGTGCTTTTATAATTCGCTTGATTCTCATTTTTTGGTTTGGGAGTCAGAGAAAGATTCTTGCCAGTCTCTAAAAGAACCGATCCTCCAAATATATAAATGAAGAAATTCAGATGGTTAAAAACTATTGAATAGTTGTATTGGCACTTCGCCAACTGCCCAGTTCCTGAGACGTCCAAAATAGTACCCGGATGTGAAACAAAATCTGTATGTGTGATATATAGGCCAGAGCCTCTAGAGATGAACTTAAGTTGTGTCTGATACCTGTGAAGTATTTTGCTGTTTTTTTTTCTTTTGCTTTTCCATTCTTCCGTTAGGGAGGTTTATTGTTAGATTCTTTATTTAGTATGTTGGTTAAGATTCTGTGAAGTTTGCAGTGCCCCCCATTTAATTGTTTGTAATTAAAAACTTCTTTATAGGCAATATTGGAGAGAGTCAGACCAAAAGTTGAGGTAAAATGTCGTTGGTTGAAAAGCGAATATTTAAAAGGAAGTTGAAAAAACTGCAAGAATCTGCAAAAGTCAAAAAGCCAAGAATTGAAAAAGTGGTAGCTGGTAATGGCAGTGATAATCATAACAGTAATGACAACAGCACCAGTAATGTCGAAATTGGCGATAGCAGTAACTTGGTTAGTAAGGCCCAAAGAGATTCTCATTTTAAGTTAATAAGTTAAGGCTTCCTGTAAGACTTATCGTTAATTACTTTTTTGAAATTTTCTGTTTTTTAGTTTTTAGATTACTGCATCTTTTGAGATGCTGCTTGAGTGGTCACATATCTGAATTTTCTTGTTTAGACCGCAACGGAGAAAGAAAAGGTAACTAGCTTTCCTCCATCATCCCTTTCTTCTGTTGCGTTTGATACGCTTAATGATGTCGTTTCTGAACCCACACTAGCAGCTATCAGAGATATGGGATTTACGCATATGACAGAGGTTCAATCACGTTGTATACGGCCGCTATTGGAGGTATTACCTAGTAAATTTGCTTCACTTCTTTTCTTTTCTTTTAATGGATTTTAAGACCTTTAGATTCTACCTTTTGATTACTGCATTGTAATTCGACGTAGGAACATTTGGAAATTAATTGTCTATCCTCTGATTTTCAGGGTCGTGATGTGCTTGGAACAGCTAAAACTGGTAGTGGTAAAACCCTGGCTTTTCTGATACCAGCAATCGAGCTTCTTTACAAGCTCAACTGGAAGGTAAGGAACGGTACGGGAGTGCTCATTATATCTCCGACAAGGTATTTTTCAGTTATCTATGAAAGTATTATGGTAGGTGTTCGTAGACGTTAGTTTTCTCCAGATGTTATGAGTATTTTGTACAGACTGAAGAAATGAAGTGAAAAAGAAAGGCAGAGGAAATTTTTTATTTGTATTCTTTAGTTTGCCTGATTTAGGGAACTGTCGATGCAAACGTATGGAGTGTTAAGCGAACTACTGGAGAAACATCCATCTTTCACACATGGGCTTGTTATGGGTGGGGCTAACAGGAAGGCTGAGGCAGAAAGACTTTATAAGGGTGTTGGTTTTCTTGTAGCTACTCCTGGAAGGCTTTTGGATCATCTGCAGGTTCGTATGTTTCTGTTACTATTTTTTCTCAATAACCACCTTTGTTTACCCGCGAAGTTTCTGCAGAATACTGAAGGTTTCATGGTGAAGAACTTAAAATGTTTAATAATTGATGAAGCTGATCGTATACTGGATATCGGATTTGAACTTGAAATGCAACAGATTTTGCGAATTTTGCCAAAAAAGAGACAAACAATGTTATTTTCTGCTACAGTTACCTCAAAGGTTTTGAATTCTTACGTTTATAGTTGATTTTTTTGTGTGTTCATTTGCTTATGGAATTAAATGCTCATAACATTGTTGGCTACAATATAAGGTTGAAGGTGGATGGGTTAATAAAATCAGCGCTTCATTCTGAGCCTCTTCGTTTTGGCATTGGCGATAGTGGAGACGATGGGCAAGACGTTGCTACTGTTTCGGGCTTACAACAGGTTTTACGCTGAGTTGTTTTTACAGTTTTGAATGTTTTAGGAACTAGTTTTTTGTTTATTCGGAATAAGGTTCATTCAGAATTTTTTACTGTGTGTCAGCCCGTTCAGCTTTCAAAAGCAAGTAAGGAGGCAGCGCAAAGTTAGGTTTAGAAGAGGAATGGTTTTTTTTGCTCTTTTTTGCTTTGGCTTTTGGTCCAGCAAAAATTTTTTGAAGTGCTGACTTGCAAGTGATCCTCAAAAGAAAGGTCTCATTGCTTTTTTTCAGTTTTTTTGGTTCCAGCATAAATCAGCTTGTTTTCTACTAGTATTTTTCGCCTAGAAAAATAATTTTTTTTTCGCTTACTCTGTAGTTAACATTTATTGAAGCATTTAACTAGGGGAATCGAAATTATGATTAGGGCATCAAGATGAAGTACGTCTCAACCTTTATTAGTGTCTTTTCATGCAAAATTTGTTCAATTTTTCTAATAGATGTGATAACTTCAGGGTTATGTTGTTTGTCCGTCGGAAAAACAGCTTTTACTTTTATTCACCTTTTTAAAGAAGAATAAAGACAAGAAAATAATGGTCTTCTTTTCATCGTGCAATTCGGTCAAATTTCATTACGAGCTATTCAATTACATTGATATTTCAGTGCAGTGCATTCATGTGAGTACAGCACCATTTTTTGGCTGAATTTGATTTAGGAAATTATTAGTAGTGCAGCACAAGATACTTTTTTTAAATAAATTATTCTTATTAGCAGATCACCAGGATCAATTTTTAGGGCAAACAAAAGCAACAAAAACGGACTTGCACCTTCCTTTCCTTCTGTGAGGCACAATCGGGTATTCTCTTTTGCACAGATGTAGCAGCAAGAGGTTTAGATATCCCACAAGTTGACTGGATTGTACAGTATGATCCTCCTGATGAACCTCGGGAGTATATACATCGGTATTTACTTTTCTTCTGATCAAACCGTGTTTTTTAAAATGTGCAGTTATGATGATGAATGGTTTACAGTGTGGGTCGAACGGCTCGTGGTGAAAATGCTGTTGGTCATGCGTTACTACTATTACGTCCTGAAGAGCTTGGGTTTTTACGTTATTTAAAACAAGCCAAAGTTCCGGTGAATGAATTTGAGTTCTGTTGGAGTAAGATTGCCAACATTCAGCCTCAACTGGAAAAATTGATCGAACAAAATTATTACTTAAACAAATCTGCAAAGGTGGGTCTCACATAACGTAATGAACGCTTTTCAGTATTTAGTTGATGCAGCCGTTTTAAGGAAGCATACAAAGCATACGTAAGGGCGTATGACTCGCACTCACTAAAAAGTATTTTCGACGTTCGTAACCTTGACCTCGTGGCTGTGTCTAAGTCCTTTGGATTTTCTACACCTCCATTTGTCGACCTCCCAATTACAAACAAGCCTAAGGTACTCTACCTGTCACTCTTCGTCTCTATTTGTCATAGTAATATGAAGTATTGTTTCTTGGAAGTATTCGTGGTTTAAGATTTTTTTTCCCCGAAAATCTTTAAGCATTTGTTTATTTTATTCTAAATAATTGCACCACGTATGGAGTTGATATTCATTTCAGGTAGAAAGAAGGTCAAAGTTGAGTGGCGCTGGCTACCGAAAGAAGCCGAAAGCTTTTAAACAGCTGCGGAAGTAGCAAGTTTTTTGTTGTTTAGTACTAAACCTATTCGTTTCCTTTGTTGTTTTATAAATTAATGTGGTTTTTGAAGGAGTGTTGCGTTGTTAAGTTTGGATGCAAATCCGATAAGTGGGGTGGCCAGTATAGATCTATTGTTGAGATACCTTTTTGTTGAAATTTGCTCAAGTTTGAGATATATGAAGACGCTTAAATGTAAAATTGAATATTTTCTTCTGTTTTTCTGTTGTTGTCCATACTAGCCAGGGCTTTCTGTAATCTCCCAAGACAATATTCACATATTGCTCTAAAACTTATGATATTGAGTGGTCTATGACAATCTGTTAAAAGCTCTTGTGACTGTTGTTTTTAAAATAGACATTTATGTTCTTTCCCTTTAGCATTTTACCTTGAAAGGCGCGCTTCTAAACGCACACTGTAGGTTGAACGAGCGGTGACGTAGATCATGGTCGAAATCATTCACATCCAACTTCCGGTTTCTTTAGAGAGTGAAAGGAAGGGAGAAAAGTTCTAGTTTTGGCGTTAACGTTTTCTTTCGGATGAGATAAATTTCAATTCACAATAATGTAGAAGTATGGCAAACAATGCAATTACAGGTGTTCTTCGTTTTAAATATAAATACCTTAACTTTTGCTGTAGTCGTGGAGGCAGGATTTTTTGAAAACAAAGTATAAATTTCCTTCGTATTTTTATGGAGCTTTTTTGTAACCTTCAGTTGCTATGAAACGTAGTTTTCTGGCTTTCAAATTAGGTAAATTCCGGGACACCAAGCGTTAGTTGTTTCTGATCTTGAATGTCATTCTGAACGAAGAAGCAGGGTTTTAGTGCCAATTGATCTTTTTAAGTATTCTAAAGCGGTAGGGTCATTGTAACAGGATTAAACCTAACAAGTCTTGCCACCCCAAAATTACCATCATTTCAATCACTATATCCGTCTAGGGATTTAAAAAATTACCTCCTGACATAATCGTTTCCTAAAACCGTGGCTTTCCATGAGTTGACTGTTGCCGTACGCACCCAATATACAATATGAAAAAACTCACTTATATTCTGGTTCCTTGTTCCAAAAGCGAACTGCTACGATGTTCACGTGTGTTTAAATTTTTTCGGAGCTTCCTTTTTATTTAGCGTTCAACACTGAGCTGTAGAATGCTGATTTAAGAAACGAGTGGTTTGCAAGTACTTACTGTCCTGGTGGCTAAAATTTTTTGTTTGAGAGAATGTCCGAACAAAGAAGCAAAACGTCCTCAATGTTGATTACGAATTCTGAAATAAAAAACCTAAACTGCTAAATTATAAATATGTTCATCTTTATTTCGAGTTTTTGAAAAACGGCTTCAAACTAACGCTACACTCAATTTCTTCTGTAGTTTAGAGTTGCTATGCCAGTAAGCTTTTCAATATTGCAAGCGTTTAGTTGCAAGCACAAGACCTTCCGGTCCAAAAAGGTCATTTACAAGAATGATTTTTTTTTTTTTTGCAGAGAGTCCGTGGAAAAGAGGTGAATAATTGTCTTTCCTAAAAGGCACTTTTGGTGTTGTCGCAGTTCACCGTGGCCGCCCCAAAAGTGTTCTTCATCAATAACCAACTTAGTTTTTCTTCAGTAATGACCAGTCCTATTTCTCACGCAAAGGGTTCTTGACTGTTGTTTTTCATCTGGACAGATTCCTCGTTATTCTCTCCAATTTTTTTTTTTTTTTGTTTGAATAATACTGAGAGAAGCTTTCAATATAGAGGACGCGTTTTATGCGTATCCATCAGCTACGAGTTACCTTTCAAATTTTTTTATAGCGCTGGCTCCCAAATTTTCACTTTTTAGATTCTGCGGTTAAGATTAAGGTCATTTCGTGAAATTTTTAGTACCACAGCCTTTCCAGGAGGTGTCCTAAACAACAAAGAGTTGGAAGAATGTTTATGAGACTTCTAAGAATCGTCTATAAAGAGTTGCAGTGGGCGGAACGACCGCCTGCTTCGACTAGAGCACCTACCAACTTCACCAGCTCACTCGTGTGAATAGATAGTCATCCGGAAACTAGTTCCTGTATTTTTGTAATACGCGCCGCTGTCATACTCTCTGAGTGATTTTGAATAGTGTGCACAGAGTCGCCATCTTTCCCGAATCTTGTTCCAGAGCATTTAGGAAGAAAGAATAATCTTTGAGAGGACCTGGCGAGATGCACGACTGTGTCTCAACATGAGGGCAAGGAAGGATATTGAGCTGCATTGTGTGCCGAAGTTAGCCAAAACGGAAGACTGCTGCTGAGGAAGCTTGCCAACTTTACAGCCACAGCCTTCTCAGCATTGTGGAATTTTGGCAGTGCGAGAATCTGTTCATCAAGCGCGGAGTGAGCGAGGAAATTAACCTGAAACTGCGCATACTTTTTTTGCTAGTCGTTGTCTCTTTCGAAGGAAAAGTTTAGCACTGCCTTTTCCTCCTCCTCTTTCTACTTCTCCAGCTATAATTTGCTTCGCTTTAAGGTTTAGTAAACCATAAAAAAAACAGGAACAGTCTATATGTGATTACCATGAATACTTTTTTGCCGTTAGCGTACTTTTTTTTTTTTTTTTGAAGTTTGAATTCTAGGCCCTGGTTGATTCATTGTTTATAATTTCAGACTAACTTCTGCATTTTTTTCTGTATTTTACGAGCCTGCCGCTAAAGATTTATTTTAACTTTCAAGAAATTACATATTATTTTTTAGGTGTTGTTTTTTGTGATGAGCAGTTACTGCGCTTTATGGCTACACAGCGTTGAGTTCAACTCTCCCTGAATAATAGTCATTGCTCTCCCAAAATCGTGATTTGGTTGCACATATAGATCAAATGTTTTTACAGTAAATGTCTTTTCACGGAAAAGTTTTGACAAAGGAAACGGTTGACCAGAAATGATCTTAAAGTTGATTTGGACACATTCATTATTTGTGGGATCGGATTTAAAGCTTCTAGATTTTTAAAACTGCAGTTGCAAAGAGTATCGGCTGTCTTATAAGGCACTCGCTGCGGAAAAGTCTGTGTTTTGAAGGAATCAAACGATTTTTGAGCACTAAACTATTGGAGAGCTACAGAGAAGTGTATGTCATAAACCTAAAATCGCAAATGAATCCGGCGGGGTGGACAATCATACAGGAGACGAAAATAGGTTGAAGGTGGAAAAAGCATTTTACATACGTTTAACTGCAGTAGCGTCGTTATTTTAAAACTTCAGTCGCTCGTGACATGTTTTAATGATTATAAAAGTCATTTAGATGTCCCACTGTGATGATTGTCCAAATTTTGCTGAAACAAAATACGAATACCTGGACCATACAGCAGATGTACAGCTACATGCATGGGGCAGTACGCTAAGTGAAGCAGTTGAACAGGTAGTGGTATCAATGTATGGTTACATGACTGAACTTTCGACTGTCAGTAGTGAATACTCTTATGACCTTCACGCAAGCGGCATCGATCTAATTTCGATGGTAGCGCGCCTTCTTGACGAAGCGTTGTATGCTTTTTCTACTGAACCTTATTTTGTTGGACGTGTAGCGAAGGTACTCTCATTGAATCGTGAGAAATCGGAAGTTACTGTACGGTGTTGGGGTGAGTCGTTTGATTTGGATCGTCACCCTCAAGGTACTGAAATTAAGGCGATCACCTACTCGAATATGCAGGTTAACGAAATGCCTGATCGGACAGATATTTTTGTAATTGTTGATATATGAAAATTCCTTGTTTACACTATTATCAGAAACAATGTAGTGCTATTGTTAAAAATTATTTTGTTTTTTTTTTTTCAAATTAGTTTTTTCATATATGTAATTGCTTTATTTTAACAAAATTTTTGAAAAAAGCTAGTGCCTAATTATTTCTGGAAGTTGTTGTTTCTTTGTTTTTACAAATATTACTTTTAAAACGGTTTTGCTTAACAGAAGAGATTTTTAAACATTCAGGATTTAATTCTTTGATAAGTTTTGGTTTCTATCGTACTCGTTGTATTTCACATCTCATGATTTGTTTTGGTCTCTGTTCTTTTATTCTGGATTTTTGGTGATTTACTGATCCTTTTATCAACTTAAACCCCGCGTGTTTTGGCCATTTGGTTTCATTTCGTAGAGTTATCCGGGCGCATAAGGCCTCCGTCGTAATGCGCCCAATCGATTCTGCTTTTAGATGGTAATTTGTTTCATTTGAGCGTTAAAGAAATATGGCTGAGAAATGCTAAACTTTATTGCAGTTATCGCTTAACACAGTTCTAAATTAAAATGGCTTTGGCTAGAAAACCTGTATTTATAAAGAAATTGAGACAGTTGTTAGAGGCGTCGGAGGCTAAAAGACCAAAATTGGAGGAGACGAAAGGTAGCGGTGATGGAAATGTTAGTCTCTTTTTTTTCGGAACTTAATGCGGGAATTAAGATGATGGGCGTGATTTGATTTGTTGCAAATTTTCTGCATCAGATATTTTTTTGGTTCTCAGTTAGCACTGCAGGTCAAGACCATCATAAGCTGATCCAGATTTCAAACATTTTAGAATGGAGATGAAACTGAAGAGACGGCAGTTTCTCCGACTACATCCTTTCTTACTTCGTCAACGTTTGGCTCATTAAAAGAGCTTGTTTCTGAACCCACACTCTCAGCTGTTAAGGAGATGGGTCTCACTTATATGACAGAAGTGCAGTTGCAGTGTATTAAACCGCTGTTGGAAGTATGCATCACCAATGTCTTCTGTTTTCAAAGTGGTGTTTTTATTTTTAATTTCAAGATGCTTGACTGTTTCGTAGCTTAATTTCTTGTTTAGTTGTCTTTTTTTTTGAGAGGGGGGAGGACAAAAAATAATTCTTTTTTTTTTTGTATTTGTTCTTTGGCCTAATTCTGTTTTATCTCTTTAACAGGCCTAATATTACATAATACTGTAAGGGGGAGGAGTTTTTGGGGTTTAGGAGCTTTCAGAAAATTACTTCACTTTTGTTTGCTATATATATATGTTTTTTTAAAAAGTATATCGGCCAGAAGAAAAACTCACTAGATTTTGTACTTCCTCCGGAATAGCAACGCAAATTTATGTTTTGAATTTTTAGAATCTCTTTGTTAATGCATATTTTTTTTTCTTTAAATTAGAGGCTCAAAGCAACGGTGACTTATCTAAGGAGTGGAAGGTTTTTTTGGCTGATATCTGCAACTTCATCACGGTTTTAAAGCGACCGTCTCAGTGAAAGGAGCATAAAATTTCTTCTCTATTTAGCGTCTTGAGTACGTATAGTTGAGAAATTGCAACTAATTAGGTAACATATTTTTTGTAACAATTTTTAGTTCAAAAATCAAAAAATTTATTTTTTTTCTATTTAGAGCAGCTTTGAGCTGTAATGTAGGTTGTAGTAACTGCCTGACGAACTAGTAAGTGGAGGGTTTGGGCAGCAGGAGCTTAGGACACTTGATCAAGGTTCTTAAAGACGTTATTGTGACACTGAGATACTGGAGTTCATTTGTTCTCTTACAGGAAGTCATTAAATCCTATAATATTCAAGCATAGTTAGGTGGGGTGTTCTTAGTAACACTTATTTTGAGATCATATGGTAGATGTCGCTGCCATGTTACAGAGTTCATTTCTGGTTTAATTTTTCCTAAGTTGTTTAAAGTGTGACGTTAAGGGGTACGATGTGCTTGGTACTGCTAAAACTGGAAGCGGGAAGACATTGGCATTCTTAATACCAGCAGTAGAATTACTTTACAGAAGTAAATGGGAAGCTAAGGACGGACTCGGGGTGCTTATAATTACTCCTTGCAGGTATCTTTTCGGAATTTGATAAAGTTTCTCGACTTATAAGATCTGTTGATTTATCATTGACCCGGGACTGTCAAGCAAGGGGAAGATTCTTGATCAGTGTTGTTACTCGTGCTTTTTTTTTACTGCATGTTTCGCGAAGTTTTGTGTTTTTATTTTCTTATCCTTGAAGAAAGTTGGCAGGGCCAGCTTTTCTGTCACCTTTTCTTGTTTTAAAGACAATTTTCTTGAAGGAGATTACTCTTTTATATAAAATTACTTTTCCTCTGGTCATTTTTGTAAGTCAAGAAATATTCAGTTATATACAGAACAGTTACGCTAGAATCTTAAATTAGCAGCCTACTTTAGTTGAAACAAATGAAAAGAAATTTATGTACTCAAAAACGATTTATTTCTAATCTTTATTGGATCTTGCTCATGAATTCATAAATTTTTAGTATACTGCAGTTTTCACTCCCTATGCTTTTTTTGTGTATCTGAGTTGAATTTTTTTATTTCATTTATAGAGAACTGTCCATACAAACCTATTCCGTCTTGAGCGCCCTTCTAAAAAAACATCCATCGTTTACTCACGGGCTTGTTATGGGTGGAGCTAACATAATAGATGAAGCGGAGAAACTCTCAAAAGGAGTGTGTATTTTAGTTGCAACACCGGGCAGGTTCCTGGATCATTTAAAAGTAGGGCATGACCCTCCTTTGTTTCAATGATAGGAGTTGAGTTAGAATAATCAGATTTTCCAGCATACTGAGGGTTTCAATGCAGATAAATTGAAATGTCTAATAGTCGATGAAGCTGACCGTGTATTTGATGCCGAGTTTGAGCGAGATATGCGACAAATTCTAAATATTTTACCGAAGAAGAAGCAAACAATGTTATTTTCTGCAACAGTTACAGCAAAGGTTAGAGCCACTTTCTTACAGCTTCTTTTTTTTGTTTTTCATTCAAACAGTTATCAGCAACGTTGTGTTGCATGTGACAGTACAAACTTTGAGGTGGAAAATTTTGTGAAGGATGTTATTCGGTCTGTTCCCTTACGTTTTGGTCCAAATGACAGTACCGATACAGATCAAAACACAGCAACCGTTTCTGGTTTGCAGCAGGTTTTTAAATTCTTTATTTATGCATCTAAATTGAACTTTCAAGGTTTTATACAAGGGCCAAGCATCTGGTCATATATTTATTAGTTTTAGGGTTACGTTGTATGTCCATCCGAAAAAAGATTTTCGCTTTTGTATAATTTTTTAAAAAGAAACCTTGAAAAAAAAGTCATGGTTTTTTTTTCAACATGCGATTGTGTCAGATTTCATGGCAAGTTACTCGATCACATGGGAGTTCCTGTGCAGTTCATTCATGTTTGTTTTTTTTTACAACTTCTCAATGAGCTTTTCGTCAGCCGAGAAATGCCTCATGTGAAACTGTTAAATCCAGCCCTTGCTTTTGAAGCGTAGTATTGAGGGCAGAATAAAATTATTATTTAGGGTAGGCAAAACCAGGACAAACGGACCAGCACTTTTTTTTCCTTCTGCAGTGCGAAATTTGGCATTCTGTTCTGCACCAACCTCGCAGCCCGGGGCTTGGACATCCCACAAGTTGACTGGATTGTACAGTACGATCCTCCCGATGAACCTCGCGAATACATTCATCGGTTTACATCTTACTTTCTGCCGTCAACATTACCTCTGTTGATGTAAGATATCTTTTATTTTACAGCGTGGGCCGAACTGCCCGTGGCGAAAATGGAGTTGGTCGCGCATTACTATTTTTGCGCGAAGAAGAGCTAGGATACCTACAAGTGTTGAGAGATGCGGATGTTCCTCTGAAAGAATTTGAGTTTTCTTGGAATACAATTGCTGACGTGCAGTCAAAGATCAGAAAGCTTCTCAAGCAGAACTATCATTTGAGCAATTCTGCTAAGGTAGTTGCATATATTTTCGCTTAAGCACCGATTATTTCTGATTATGGGCTTTGTAGAACGCATACGCATCTTTTGTAAAGGCATATAGCGCTCACAGACTAAAGGCTGTTTTCGACGTTCATGATCTGGACCTCACAGCTTTATCTAAATCGTTTGGATTTTCCAAACCCCCACTCGTGGATCTCCCGATCAGAAAGAATTCTAAGGTCTCAAAAATGATTTGTTATCTTGTTCCAGCTCCTTTAAAGATTCAGCTTAGTCTTCCGCCGTCTTTACTTGGAG